ATTGGAACTGTGCGACTATAATCATAAGAATGCCCCTAACTGGGTTGCTCCGAGGCCTGGGTTTCATGCATGCGCGTGGAAACCTACTGGAATATGGGACTTTCTGTATGTTTTCTTGAATGGGACCTCTCTCTTACTCAATGTAGTTAAAGTGCCCTTTCCTAACAAGGGGCTACAGATAAGAAAGCAAGATTGATGGGTGACCTCAGCTGGCATGCGTGAAGGGAAGACAGGAAACTCAAGCCAATCGCAGAGAACGACACTGAGAATGGCCCAGAACATTGTGAATCTAAAATTTTTTTTGTTATTCGGCTTGAGGGTAACAAATAAGATTTGGTGCTTGTTCGTATAAGCAGTAGTAAACTACAGTTTTTGAAATATCAATTGTTATACTTTAAACTGTATTCTGCCAAACTTAACGTAGTTTGTTAATAATCAAACAGAGACCTTCTGTTCAATAATAAGTATTTGTTAAGGATCTCCCTCTATTCTTCACAGGAACAGGAACATGTAATTTTTTACAATTGCTACCAGATGATTTTATTCTTTTCTTTTTTTTTTTTTTCTGAGACGGAGTCTCGCATATGTCACCCAGAGCTGGAATCCAGTGCTCCATCTTGACTCACTCAGACCGTCCACCTCTCCTGGTTCAGAACAATTCACCCTGCCCTAAGCCGTCACTGAAGTAGCTATGGATTACATCGGCGGCACGCCAACCCATGCCTCAGCTACAATTGGTTTGTATTTTTAGTGAGACTTGGGAATTTCACCATGTTGCGCCCAACCTGGTTCAATCCTAACCTCGAGGCAATCCACGCGTGCCTCGCTTCCCAAAGTGCTGGGATATAGGCGTCAGCCACTGCGCCTGGCCCGGATAGATTATATTCTTTTTTTTTTTTTTTTTTCTTTGAGACACGCCCAGACTGGAGTGGCGGTTTGGCACCAAAATCTCGGGTCACTGTATCGAGCTCACTCACCGGTTCATCAAGCCTTTCTCCGTGCCTCAGGTCCCGAGTAGCTGGGACTTACAGGCGCCCACCACGCAGCGACCCTCCGGCTAATTTTTTGTATTTTTAGTAGAGACGGAGTTTCACTGTGTTAGCCAGGATGGTCTCAGTCTCCTGACCTCGTGATCCGCCTGCCTTGGCCTTCCAAAGTGCTGGGATTACAGGCGTGAGCCACCGCGCCCGGCGATGATTTATATTCTTAGCCAAATTAAAGAAATACTGACTTAAGCCAGTTAAGTAAATCTTAATTGATAAGTTGTTATAATTTTAAGCTTGTGTGTTACATGGAATTTTCCTGTACAAATAACAGATACTACTCTATCATGTGGCAGTGGAAGTATGATAAATATTAATGTTGACAAGCTGTCATAATTTTAGGGTCAGTACCCTAAAATTACCCTTGTGTTGAGTTTTCCTGTGCTGTAAGAGATATTAGGCACCATGATGTGGAAATAAAGACACACTCAAAACTAAGAAGTGTTTGTGGCCATGAGTGGTACAGTGGCTTGCTTCCTCCCACTCCCCACCACCTCTTTTCCATTTCTCTTGCCCCGCTTTGCTCTCCTTTTTTTTTCTTCCTCTTGTTCCCTTCATTTCCTTTCAGAAAACACAGTCTTAAGAACAAGCATTTTTGTCTTAAAGCGTAAGTTAGCTTGCTAAATATAAAATGTAAAACCTAAAAGATGACCAGGCCTCTGTGGTCACATCAGCATCTGAGCTTAGTTTTCCTTTCCAAGTCCTCATCTGAGTTCACTTTATGTGACCACGGAGTCTCGCTATGTCACCCAGGCTGGAATCCAGTGGCTCCATCTTGACTCACTGCAACCTCCACCTCCCTGGTTCAAACAATTCCCCTGCCTCAGCCTCCTGAGTAGCTAGGATTACAGGCGCACGCCACCATGCCCAGCTAATTTTTTGTATTTTTTAGTAGAGATGGGGTTTCACCATCCTGCCTCAGCCTCCTGAGTAGCTGGGATTACAGGCATGTGCCACCAGGCCCAGCTCATTTTTGTATTTTTTAGTAGAGATGGGGTTTCACCACATTGGTCAGGCTGGTCTTGAACTCCTGACCTCGTAATCCATCCGCCTGAGCCTCCCAAAGTGCTGGGATTACAAGCATGAGCCACTACGCCTTGCCTAGCCTCTTGATTTTCTATGCTAGCTGTCAACCTGGGTGATCCTCCCGCCATAGTAATTTCTTATCCTCAGTAATTCTTTATCCCTAGACGTTATGGAATTTTGGTTGGTTGATTGGTTGGTTTTATATTATTTCTCTACGAATGAAGCAGTTCTGAATACCTTCATCCTGCCATCTTAACATAGTTACTCCAGTGAAATAAAAAAAATTTTGAGTATAGAACCAAAGTCAATACACAATAAGGAAGGATCTTGGCTTTATTTTATATCCTCCTCTCAAAGGTACTTTTCTACTTGTTAACTTATCTATCTTATTAGGACATTCTTAGTACATTTGGTATCTCTGCTTCCCATTCTGTTTTCCTTCTAGGAATTTATATCCTTGTGGAGACTTTTCTCATCTACCAACATTTTTATGTCCCCTCAAGTACTGAAGCCTCTGCAGCAATCTCTGGATAGCTCAAGTTGTTTATAGATTTTACCCGAAGGCCAATATAAAGGAAGGTATCTTAGAAGAAAGATGCCTTTTCCTTTTAGTGGTTATTTTCTCTTTAAATAAAAATCTTATACAGCCTTATAATATTGTAATAAGACTATAACCCAGCACTTGTTAACTTTTTCAAAATGATGAGTCTCTGAGGTAGCTTGTTTTATTTTTAAATAACTGGAACATTTTTTCTGTTTCTCCAAACATTGCTGGTCTTTTTTTTTTTTTTTTTTTTTAAAGCAAATCTGTCTGGAGTTTAAAACCAAAGACAAATCATACTGTGCTGCATCTCTCAAAGAGTTTACAGTTTAGCTAGGTAAGACCAGAAGCACATGAAAAGTAAAATAGGTATATCAGACATAACCAGGTAATGTCAGAGTACAGGAATGGTACAGATAGCAGAAGTTAAATTCCTAGTAAAGAGAGAGTGGATAATCTGTAAACTTGTGACACATACAGCTACTTTACTGACAGAGGAAAGAATCTGACCACCTTCCTGGCATCTTTTAAGAAAGGCATAGATAGGTCTATCTACTTCTTTTTCTCATTTGCCTCATCACATTCCATTGTGACCTCTCTAGTTCTTTTGCACACTGTCATGTTTAAATGTTATTTCTCATGAACATATTTAGGTTTTCCTGAGGATATTTCTCAGAGTCCTGAGTCACATAATCAGGACAGCTGATTAGGCATAAGAGAGACTGATACCAAATCAGAGTTGAACTCTCAGGGGACTTCTGCTGTCTAGTTGTTAGATGATGGAAAGTTATGTTTGTTTGGGCTCCAGGAATCAGAGCAGTTTGTTTTCCCTCCATACCCCAGGATTGTCCTTCCAAGTCTCACCTTTCGCATCTCCCCTCATCTCTAGCACTACCACCTACTCCCACTGTGCTGTCAGCAGATAATAAGGCTGACCAATTGCCTAGATTTTGCCTAGGTGAAAGAATTTTGGCTCAAGTACTAGCAAGATGAATCACGTATCCTGTCTTTAACCTTCTTATTTATTTATAAAGACACAAGTCTACCACTTGAACTGTGCACTTCCTGGGGCTCCCTTTGGTCATGCCCCTTGCTTCAGACCTTTCTTCTTGGCCCTGTTCTTTAAGATTGAAATTGTTCATACTTCAAGGCTTGGCTACATTGTTAGAACATTATCTGCCCATTTGAATTTCGGAAGAGTAAGGGCCTTTCCTCTTTAAAAAGTTCCTCATTCTTTCTATCCTTCCCCTCTCCTTCCCTGTTTCACCAATTCTGTTAACTATAGACACCGCCTTCCCAACCTGTCACCCACTCCCCAAACCGTGACTGTGTACACATCATTTTATTCCTACTTTCTCCTGTCTCTTGCCAAAAGGCCCATGGAAAGTTGAGCTTCTACTCCTTGAGCCTGACCTGGTTACAAGCTTATGGCCTACCACCCATTTCTTTGGGAAATAAGGTTAAAAAATTGACTTCCATATAATATGCCCCTTTGAAGTCACATTCATAAATTTATAGACCACATTTGCATATTTTTAGTAATCATAATCTGTCTTACATTCAACATATCTGTTGAATGTTTGCACAGTTGCATTTAATCAGACCTCTGCTGTCTTATTTGGGAATTGTCTCTCAAGTATAGCTTACTTTGGAGAAGTACGCCATAGGCTTGTATCTGTCTTTACCATTCAAGACTGGACTTAAACATAAATGTGCACTAAATAGCATATTTTTAAAGTCTTTTTAATGGAAACTATTTTGCTAGGCCATGCGAATGAATCAGGCAGGCTGTTAGAAGGCCCTGCCAGAGATCAAGTTTGGTGTGTCTGAAACTGTTGTGTTCGACCCTGAGGGACCTTGTGTGAACAGTTCTTGCTTAGGCTTCTACTGGTTTTCACTAATTCAGGATCTGCTGAGTTTTTTATGGTTAAAACTTGATAATAGTAAAACAACAGAATACTCGTCCGGAAAGATGTCTTATTGACATTCATTTATTAAGCTGCTTTCTTTACTTCCATTTCAGATTTGTCCAATATGTGCAGCGTTACCTGGAGGCGATCCTAATCATGTCACGGATGACTTTGCAGCTCATCTTACACTTGAACACAGAGCCCCTAGAGATTGAATATCCTTTTAAGAGATGACAAGGAAAAGAGTTGTTTGTAATGTTTGTCATTTTGATTTTTTGTTTTGGAGACAGGATCTCGCTGTGTCGACCTGGCTGGTCTCAAACTCCTGAGCTCAAGTGATCGTCCTGCTTCAGTCTCTTGAGTAGCTGGGACTATAGGCACACAAGTGCCACTGCATCCAGCTTGTCATTTTGATTATTTTTAAGGATAATATCCCCCAGAAGACGAAAAGTAATCTCCAAATTATTTTTACTTATTTGAACTTTTCCTAGAAGTGACTGAGTGTTGAGATGCAATTGATTTCTCTTTTTATATACTATCACTGTTGCATGAACCATTTTCACTAAGTGAAAGTTGACTTGTCCTTCATCTTTAGTTCACTATAATTAGATTTTTTTAAGGCAGTTTGACCAGATTATGTCTTCCAGGATGGCATTTTCATACAAAAGCGGAAAATGTTAATCCAAATTAAAATTTAATTAGTTAAATATGAAGAGGCATTATTTGCTTTCCCTCTCTGTTCCTCTGCTGCCTTACCCTGTTGTGGCTGTGGTGTGGTGAGATGGTGGGGGCAGGTGTGCATCTTAGTGTTCCTTTCCTTTTTGGGGTCTCCTTCTCGAAAGAGAGCCATTTCCTGCCCAGTTCCTAAGTAGGATAGTAGCTTTACATTTCCTTTCCTGCTTTTCTTTTTTTTTTTTTTTGAGTCTGAGTCTCACTCTGTCGGCCAGGCTGGAGTGCAATGGCACGATCTTCAGCTCATTGCAACCTCCACCTCCTGGGTTCAAGCAATTCTCCTGCCTCGGCCTCCCAAGTAGCTGAGATTACAGGTGCCTGCCACCATGCCCAGCTAATTTTTGTATTTTTAGTAGAGATGGGGTTTCACCATATTGGCCAGGCCGGTCTCTTGGCCAATCTGGTCTCGAACTCCTGACCGCCCGCTTTGGCTTCCCAAAGTTCTGGGATTACAGGCATGAGCCACTGCGCCTGGCCAGTTTTTGTATTTTTTTTTTTTAGTAGAGATGGGGTTTCACCATATTGGCCAGGCCGGTCTTGAACTCCTGACCTCAGTGATCCGCCCGCCTTGGCCTCCCAGAGTGTTGGGATTATAGGTGTGAGCCGCCACGCCCAGCCTCCTGATTTTATTTCTTCATTTCCTTCCTTATCTCTCAACAGTTGCTGGCAGTGTTCCCTGAGATTACTGGCCTACCAGAGCGATTAATTTTATGGTCTTTGCTTCTGGTTTCAGGTTATGAATTGTTCATCTAAAACTATCACCAGCTGGGTATAGTGCCTCATGCCTATACTCCTAGCACTTTGAAAGGCCAAGGTGGGAGGATCACTTGAGCCTAGAAGTTCGAAACCAGCCTGGACAACATAGGAAGACCCCGTCTCTACCAAAATAATGAGCTGGCCGTGGTGGCACACACCTGTGGTCCCAGCTACTGAAGAGGCTGAAGTAGAAGGATGTCTTGAGCCCATGATCTCAAGGCTGCCATAAGCTATGGTTGTACCACTGCACTTCAGCCTGGCAACAAAGTGAGACCCTGTCTCAAAATACATATATGTATAAAATCATAATATATAAATTATCAAATATATAAATATGATCGTATCACTTTCTCTAAAACCCAAACCATCCTTATTAATATGATGGAACACTGCATGTACAGTGACACCTGAAGGCCTCCTGGAGCTACCCATCTGGTCCTTAAATAACTCCAGAACCATCAGCTGAAAAACTGAGAAGCCAGCAAAAAAATGAATCTGCATGATAAAGCTGGTCTGTTTGGTGCTTTAAAGGAAAAATCTCTTCTATATGATCTGGCCTCCCCCACCTCTTATTTGCCTTTGTGGAAACGTAGGGTTGTCTTCATGAGTTTTGACAGCTATTTGCGACTCAGGAGCTTTTTCAGTTGGACTCCAACTCAGCTATGTAAGATGGTTGAGGCTGCTGGGAATTTGACTTCGTGATAAATGTCATGTTAATCTGTCTGTGTGTCTTAGACAAGAAATGCAAATCTGTTTTCTGCTTAGCAGCAGCATTGGAAAGAAGCTTGAAAACAGATTAAAACTAATAATCCAAAAGGAATCTTTGATCTGCTGAATATAAATTCAATATTGTTCCTTTTTCATTATAGGTGGTATTTGAGATTTCATGAGCTATATAGAGAAGCTTTCTTACCTCACACAGCCAATACACACACACACACTCACATGTTGCCTTATATTTGAGTGTTTTTTTAGGGTTAATAGCCCTCCCTCATAGATAGAGTTGGGACATTTGCACTTTAAGTTAAACGTGCTGTTTTTAAATGCTTACAATTCAGGAAGTCTTTATATCTGTCTAGCAAGGGCTCAAGTGATTTTTTTTTCTTTCTGTGAAATATTTTCATTTTTTTCTTAACTTTTGGGTTATGATGAATCGAGTGGTGTTCGACATGTACGTAGAATGTTTCACCCTGGCCGGGGATTAGGAGGTCCTCGTGCTCGTAGATCAAACATGCACTTTACTAGCAGTTCTACTGGTGGACTTTCTTCTTCTCCGAGTTCATATTCTCCAAGCAATAGGGAAGCCATGGATCCTATAGCTGGTAAGTTAGTTTCACATTAATAAGGGAAATGGCAGGGGAAGGAGGAGCTCCTTTTAAAACTTTTTGTGATGCCAGTTGCGGTGGCTTACTCTGGGAGGCTGGAGCGGGTGGATCACTTGAGGCCAGGAATTCAAGACCAACCTGGCCAACATGGCCAAACTCTATCTCTACTAAAAATACAAAAATCAGCCAGATGTGGTGGTGGGCGCCTGTAATCGCAGCTACTCAGGAGGCTGAGGCATGAGAATCACTCAAGCCTGGGAGGTGGAGGTTCCAGGGAGCCGAGCTCGCACCACTGCACTCCAGCCTAGGTGATAGAGTGAGACCCTGTCTCAAAAAAAAAAAAAAATTGTGAGATTTTTGTAGCCTCACCTCTCTGATCATAAGCCATGTTCCTTCACAAAATTGCCAAATACTTTAAAAGTGTAAAATGTGTTCAAAGCAGATACTTAACATAAAGTAATTCATACTCTTCTGGTATCACTTAAGTCCAGTAGTCCCCCTCTCATATGTGGTTTTGCTTTCCTGGGTTTCAGTTACCCATAAGCAACTACAGTCAAAAAATAGGTGAGTACAGGACAGTAAGATACTTTGAGAGGGAGAGAGACCACATCACATAACTTTCATGGTATATTTTTAGATTTACTCTATTTTGTTGTGAATCTCATACTGTGCCTAATTTATAAATTAAACTTGAGCACAACAGATAAGTATATATAGGAAAAAACATAGGGTTCTGTGTTATCCAGATGCCCATTTCAGCCATTCACTGGGGGTCTTGGAACATGTGTCCTGCAGGTAAAGGGAGTGGGAGACTTCTGTTCTTAGAGACATAAGATGATAAAAAATGGTTTTATGTTGTATTTGTGGCCTCTATTGAAGCCCAAGGAAATCATAAAAGATTTCAGTTTGAATACCTCCAAAATTTCATGGTTAAACCTCCATAAGTACACATAACAAATGTCCAAAGCACATTTGAAATTAAGGTTTTATAAGACATAGCTAACATTTTTAAGAACATGTTATCTGTAAAATTCTATCACAGATTTATGCCTATCTCAGGTGTTGTGCAGGGCGCCTCATGGCTTCCAGGTACACATTCCACCACATGGACACATTTCAGAACTGTTATCTATAGCTAATTGACAAGACTAAAAAATTAAGCTCTTCTCATGGAAGAAAGGAAAGTAAGACTTAATGTCCTGATCTTGATTTGAGAACTATATTGTTGCAGAACATACTGAAAGGTACATGTTTAATAGCTTGGGGAAAATCTTAAAAAAAACAAAAACAAAAATACACAGTTTTTGAACCTGGCCATGTCACTGGGTCTAGTACATGACAAACCTGGGAAGTTGGTAGCAGAACACAGGGTCAGAATAAAATATAAGAAATCACTGTAGCCTGACAATCTGCAAGACACACCAAGCAGACAAGTGGTAAGACTGTGGGACGTGTGCACACATTTAAAGCAACAGCTCTGAAATGTGTCCATGTAGTGAAGTGTGCACCTACCTGGAAGCCATGAGGTGCCCTGCAGAACACCTGAAACACTGGTAAGTGTAAATCTGTAATAGAAACTGAGAACATCAGAGCTAAATGACAACTTAGGAACACAAAGGAGGAGACAGCAGACACTGGGGAAGGGTGGGAAGAGAGAGAGGAGCAGAAAGATAACTGTTAGGTACTGGACTTAATTGGGTTCTGCGTGATGTAATAATATGTACGACAAACCCCCGTGATGTGTTTAACTGTGTAACAGACCTTCACATGTACCCCCAAATCTAAAATAAAAATTTTAAAAAGAAAAAAAAACCTAAGAATAATTTGACACCTATCATGTTATTAAAAAGTTAGATATACCATATAAAATTTTAATTCCAAATGTGCTTTGAACATTTGGGTGTGCAACAACAAAAACAAGCCTAACAAACTGAGTTTGGGGGATTTAAAAAATATTTCTTCATCCAAAGGGAATATTTACCTGCTATTTTGGTGGCAGACACTAAAAATTAAAGTAGTTTCTGAGAGCAGAATTCAAATTTGAGAAATTTTCACTTGTTTTTTTTCTGTCAGTGAAAATTAGTTTATTTTAGTGATAGACTGTATATTCCGTGAAAGAGTGGTGTAAGAGTGCTATCAAAAGCCTGGGATAAAGCAACAGTGAAGAAGAAAACAGAAACTGTTAATGAGTTTTAATGATAAAGAGTTTTTGCTGGCCTAAGAGTGTGTGCAAGGCCATCATCGGTTCCCTATAAGCGAGGTAGACCCTCCACTTGGAAGAAGGCATTTCACTGCACCTTACGTAGATGAGGGTGCAGGGACAAAGGTTTACACCTCTCTTAATGAGTACAGCCTTATGGACACAAGACAGTCTGGATCATAACAGGCCACTAAGTACGCTGTACAGTCAGATGCAACAGGTTCTCAGGAGCCTTGCTGAGCACTGCTAGTGGTACCTACTGCAGTGGTACTCTGAAACAGCAGTACCAAAAGGTACTAGAGAGAGAAGGCAGAGGCGAGTGTTCAAGGCCCACTATCAGAAATGATCCAGGCCTCTTGGACTAAATCCTAATAATTCATTCAGTCATTCAGTAAATGTTTGAATTCCTGCTATATCAGGCCCTGTTCTGAGAGCTGGGAATATAGTCAACAGTAGACCTCATCCCTGCTTCCATGAAACACATATTGAGAAAGCTTATATTATAATTGGGCCCGCAGATAAACCACTTCATTAAATACTAAGAGAAAGCTTAACTAAATTAGTCTTATTATGCAGATAATTTTAAAGACAATTTAAGTTTTACTTAAAGCAAACATAGTTGGGTCTGGGTTGATATTCGTATGCATTTGCGTTCTCTGTACACAGTAACTCCTGCCTCCAGGAGGCATTCTAGAAGGTATTCAGCTCTTCACTGAAACTCTATGCTGCTGTGGTTACCTACCTGTTCACAATGCTTTTGATGTTGTTCCAGTAAAAGAGTGATCTGTAGCGTTTTGTTTTCCTCAGTATTAAGCAGACATTAATTGTCTTCATTTCCATTGGCAGAGCTTTTATCTCAGTTATCAGGAGTGAGACGTTCTGCAGGAGGACAGCTTAATTCCTCTGGCCCTTCCGCTTCTCAGTTACAACAACTGCAGATGCAGCTGCAGCTAGAACGGCAGCATGCCCAGGCAGCACGGCAACAACTGGAGACTGCACGCAACGCAACCCGGCGTACTAACACAAGCAGTGTCACCACTACAATCACACAATCCACAGCAACAACCAACATAGCTAATACAGAAAGCAGTCAGCAGACTCTCCAGAATTCCCAGTTTCTTTTAACAAGGTAGCTCATTTGTTAATAGAATTTTGTTTGGGAAGTAGTATTTTATTGCCACTACAATCTGGAATTATCTTTTCTCTTTTGTGCATATATATTTCTTTAAAATTCTGTGTTTGATTAAAACTCACAAATCTCTGATTAAAACTGCATATTCAGTATTTCCCGAAGAATGTGAAACATAGTAATTCTTTTAGATAAATTAAGAATACTGGGCCAGACCCAGTGGCTCACACCTGTAATCCCAGCACTTTGGGAGGCCAAGGCAAGCATATTGCCAGAGCCCAGGAGTTCCAAACCACCCTGGGCAACATGGTGAAATCTTCTCTCTACAAAAATTAGCCAGGTGTGATGGTGCGCACCTGTGGTCCCTGCTACTTAGGAGGCTGAGGCGGGAGGATTGTTTGAGCCCTGCAGGCAGAGGTTGCAGTAGCCAAGATTATGCCATTCATTCCAGCCTGGGTAACAGTGAGACCCTGTCTCTAAAATAAAATAACTGGTCTTCTTGTTCTCAAGGTATATATCATCATATAATATGAATTGTTTTGCCATAGTACCCATAAAACATTAAACACTATATCATTATATATATATATGGTTCATATTAGGTGCATTTATGATAATTAACATTGCTTTTTATTGCCAGTTTTAATCTACTGTGAAATATTAAAAGGTATAAGAAGGATTTCATAATACAGTGACAGTTTTCTCCTGCGAATTTCTAAAAAAGCTAGATTTAAATTTTCATGGTTGGCACACAAAAGTAACTGTTAAAAAAAGTGACTTCCCGTGGTATAAATAACATTCAGTACAACAGTAAACTACTCTACTGGATGGAGTTCCTGTTCGCTTCTGAAACTGTTAGCAACTGTATGTATTTGTCTGCCAGAACTTCATAGGCATTTTATGTGACTTTCAGGAACATAAAGAATTTTAAAAAGAGCAATGATGAGTGGAGACTTAGCCTCAACAGATAATGAACCTGGACTAATTTGGGCTTTTAAGGGAGCAGAGAGGAATATAAAGAAAGAACTGTAAAATGAAGAATAGAGTTTGTGTAATACATCATTATCTCCAAAATGCAGTGTGTATGACAATTCATTGGGATGTTAGAAGAAAATATTATAATTTCTACTTACATTTCTTTTATCTCATACTCTGTTAATCCAGTGGTGCATGTGTATAGTTATAAATAACATAGTGTGGGTGCAGAATAAAAAATGCTTGAAAATCCCTGGACTAGAGCCCCAGCTTTGCCACTTGCAAGTTTTGGACCTCAGGCAAGTCATTCCACTCCTCCAAACCTCAATTTTATCATCAGTATCCCAGAAGTTTTGCCTCTAGAGAGAGAATTATTTTGAGAATGAAATGGAATACTGGTATGTGTATGGTCTGGCTCAGTATCTGCCCAATTAATGGTATTCTCAGTAAAGGCCCAATTAATGGTATTCATTATTATTTGTTATGAAACCAAGAAAAAAAATGTAAATGGGTAATTTACCTTTGAATTACTTCTGCTAGGTCAGGAACTGTGCCTGGTTATTAGCAGATAATGCTGCTTTAATGTAAGAGAACCACAGGGCCACAGATGGAGCTACCTGCTGCCATGTAGCCTTACCTATAGGGACTGACCAGCAGCAGGTCTGTAGCGTACTACATCTAAGTTCCTGCCTCAAAAAGGAGATCTACTAGTGTGCATTTCTACTGAGAGTTCACAGAACTGTGGGTGGAATGTCTTGCCAGTGCCCTTTGGAAAAGACATCTTCCTGTCCACCCTTGCCCTATGCTTTTTTTTTTTTTTTTTTTTTTTAAAGACCCAAACTACTCAGTGAGCTTGTCTGTGCATTTATTCCACACCCAACTCTCAGAGCATGGTAGGAGTGACCTCTGAGTGCTCTCTCTGAATTCTGGTTGTAGCTTCTTGAAATTCCCCTTCTGTCATCTGATACTGTACATTGTATGGTACCATGTAATTTGCAAACCACTTTCCACATATTTTATTGTATCATATGATTTATTTAAGGCAATATTTCCCCAGAAATACTCTCTTAACTTCATATATTCTAAGGAATATATGTAATTATGTTATTCCACCCCCAATTAATAAGGTCAGAGAAAGCAAAGTAAGAAGAATAAAGAGATTATTTACTGTTGGGCTTCTCAGAACTTCAAATGTATTAACATGCATTGTGAATTTTCAAGGCAAGGAGAACGGCTGCAGTGTATTCAGGAGAGATCCTGGTCTCTGGTCACTCAGCTCTTATGTGATATATATAGGGCCCAAGTCTTATTTTTGGTCTTTTCTTTGACCAGGGGCAGTTCCTATTGATGTTGCCCTGGAACTGATGGTAAGGTCACAGTTTCTTTGGACTCCAAGATAGTTGACCTTTTAGAAAGTGATTGTTGGAGTGTGTCAGATCGGTCTTTTTTTGAGACAGAGTTTCGCTCTTGTTGCCCAAGCTGAAGTGCAATGGCACGATCTCAGCTCACTGCAGCCACCTCCCAGGTTTAAGCGATTCTCCTGCCTCAGCCTCCCAAGTAGCAGGAATTACAGGCACACACCTCCACACCCGGCTAATTTTTTGCATTTTTAGTAGAAATGGGGTTTCACCATGTTAGCCAGGCTGGTCTCAAACTCCTGACCTCAGGTGATCCGCCCGCCTCGGCCTCCCAAAGTGCTGGGATTACAGCTTTGGAGCCACCGTGCCTGGCCAGATCTCATCTTTTGACAATGGGACCAGCTCATTTTGCTAACCCCAACTTGAAGATCCTCGCAAGCCTTGCAGTTTCATTTATATCCTAAATTTTATATTTCATCAGGAAGTCAAGACCTAGTACCAGTACCTCACACGCAGACTTTACCTGCCTCTCAGGAATGAGGTGTCTTCTCAGTTACTTCCCTGAAAAACAGACAGTAATATTGTTACTGCATGTTCTTTCGAGGACTGAAGGCCGCAGCCTGTATGTCTTTAGTTCGCCTCGTTGTTACGTGGGTAGTCCTCTTTACGTTCTTTATCTTTCTGTTACAAGGTTTAACTTCTCTAAAATTTTTTTTTCTTTACCAAAGACCTTTTCCAAAGCTAAGAACGTGGAATGACTTCAGTTCGTAATATTTTTATAGCTTTGGGTTGAAAACGTGTAGTCTACTCAATCTTCTATTCCATTAGATACTCTCTTATGATATCCTTAATTTTTTTTTAACCATAAATGTAATCAGTCATTTCCTTTCAATGTGGATTTTATGGCTTTTCTGTAATTACCTTTCAGATATTTTTGCATTCTTTCAGTTCTGAAATTTGATCTTTTGTTTTCTGAGTCATAGATAACTAATTATTTAGTGGTTTTGAACTTAGCACCTATGAGATTTTGTGCAAATTACTTAACCTTTGCTTCAGTTTCCTCTTCCTGTAAAATGTTGATAATAATAGTCCCTAACTCAGAGAGTTAAATGAGCTAATGCACTCAAAGAGCACGCAAAGCCCGACCCGCCGTTAGTATCATCCATGGTGGCATGGAGGTGCTCCTGTGCCTTGCAGTGCTGGTAGAACAGCAGGGAGCAGGTGCCAGGCAGTAGGGCAGCATAGAATAGATCTGTCTCTGGGCTCAGGGTGCTGCCTCTGGGTACTCAGGGAGAAGACCTGTCATGTGTGCCTGCCGGGCCTCCTTTCAGTGTCCCCATATTCTCCCTCTTTGTTCCTTTTGCTGCCCCATTGCTTCTGCTAGTTTCCCTTTCTTTGCCACTGAAAGTGTAGAGAAAACCAGTATTGAAACTAAGCAGAATTTTATATCATTTTTTGTTGAAGATTGACCTTTTTTTTTTGAGACAGAGTCTCACTCTGCTGCCCAGGCTAGAGTGAAGTGGCACGATCTTGGCTGACTGTAACCTCCGGCTCCCGGGTTTAAGCAATTTTCGTGCCTCAGCCTCCCAAGTAGCTTGGATTACAGGCATGCACCACCACGCCCTGCTAAGTTTTGTATTTTTAGTAGAGAAGGGGCTTCACCATGATGGCCGGGCTGGACATGAACTCCTGATCTCAGGTGATCCACCCATTTCAGCCTCCCAAAGTGCTGGGATTACAGGTGTGAGCCACTGCACCTGGCCAGAGATTGACATTTTAAAGTAATTTAACAAGTTTAGTAACAAGTGATAAGTAGAATTTTCAGCTCTTAACATCTGTCCAGTCTCTGTGCGTATGAGCCGGGTTTCCCAGCATAGCCCAGATCTCATAAGTACATGCGTCAGGGGAGCAAGTCAGGCAGGTAGACCTTGTGTCTGCCCTGCTACACGGTAGGTCCTTGGTAGAAGAAATGTAGGAGGGTGTATGTGTTTTCTTGCCCTCTCTAGCTTCTGCATATACCAGGAAGAATTAAATAGAGTAATAGAGAAAAGTCAGAGGAAATTTTCGGATATTTTTCAGTTGAATATTCTGTTCACTGCAGATTTTGTTTTTGTGTTTTAATTTTCCTGTATTTACCCCCAGATGAAATTCTGCTTAGATGCTTTCCCAAGCGTCTAATCTATAAGAAATCCTGTTTTCCTTAGAAAATTTTCACCTAGCTTTCTCTGGAGTGGAAAAAGTCTAAATGTATTTTTTTTTCTCATTGAGTCTAATTAAAGCATAGATTTGCACCTCCAGGTAACAGTATTGCAACAAATGTGGGGAATTCGTCTCAACACAATTAAGGATAAATTAGAGCCAGATATTCCAGCAATGTCTCATTCTGAATTTTGCCAACTGTAAAACTTGCACAGTGGAGAGCACTGTAGATATTGGCCATGCCATTGTTCATTGACTTTTTAACAATAAGGTCTTTTCTTTTTAACTTAAACAGGTTGAATGATCCTAAAATGTCTGAAACGGAGCGCCAGTCCATGGAAAGCGAGCGTGCAGACCGCAGCCTGTTTGTCCAAGAGCTCCTTCTGTCCACTTTAGTGCGTGAAGAGAGCTCATCCTCAGACGAGGATGATCGGGGGGAGATGGCAGATTTTGGTGCTATGGGCTGTGTAGATATTATGCCTTTAGATGTTGCTTTAGAAAACCTAAATTTAAAAGAGAGTAATAAAGGAAATGAGCCTCCACCACCTCCTCTTTGATGACATCCCAATTCGCAGACAATGTCCTCTGTGCTGTATTTGCCAATGAAAGTGGACAACAACTATCTTGGGTTTGTTTGGTGATTGTAATTTCAGGTCTGTCACTCTTGTTACATTGTGTACATTCAAAAGGAAGAGAGAAAATATATATGATAATCATTTCCACTTAACTAATTTTTACTTCTAGCAGGTAAATGTAGGTAGCAGTGCAGGGGTGATCTCTGCTTCCTGTACCTTGACATGCAAAAGGCTGTCCTAATACTCCACATTCAAACTGAAGAGGAAAATTGAAATCTCTAATGAAGCTGCTGTGTGTATTTATGAATATTAATGAATAAAAACTGCTTGGATGGTTTACCTTAACTACTGCATGAGGTTTTTTGCAGCGTGCATGAGTTTTAGTGACCTTGTTATTTAAAAAATTAAATACAAGGAGTAAAACTTAAAAAAAAAAAAATACAAAGCCCAAAGCTTTCCCAAACATTATTCAACGGTTACACTACGAAGTAGCTTTTGAATAATGTCTGCCTGAATCACCTTTCTTTGTGTGCCTCCTACGCACAAAGCCAGCTCTGCAGTGGAATCTGGGGATTGTGGCCGGGTGTGGCACTCCGCCCTGTGTGACTGTCCTGTCTCCCTGTTAGTCATCTTGCCTGTGTGGAGCTCAGCCTGTCTCTTTAACTCATCCGTAGAAGACACACCAGTAAAGCTACCGTTGGAATCTGCTGCAGGGGCCTTTGTGTGCCCTAAAAACAAATCCTGTTCATGTTTGTTTAAAGTTTTTACTTTTTGTGGTTGTTTAAAATTTTTTCAATTGTTAAATATGTTTTATTCAGGTGTAGATGAATTTCATTTATTGACTGTTCAACAGAGTTAACCTGAATTATGTTGTCTTTGTTCTAAAAAATCTCACATTCTCAATCATATTTTGCGTTATTTATGTATTTGCTTTGTAGTTTGCTGAGACAGATCAGTATCAGGGGAGCTTTGAGGATTTGCCTTCCCAGATTTGTCAATATATTACAACCAAATTCTTAATGCTAATTTTAGCACCTTTTATTTATTGGGTTTTTTTTCTGGCATAAAAAGTAAAGCCTTTTAATTGAATCATGCCACCTATATGCCTATATTATTAATCCTATGTGTAAAAAAATGTACAGCTTTTTTTGGGTTTGTTTTGGGGTTTGGAGGGGCCGGGTTATTTTTGATTTCCTGTTTCGGTTTTTGTGCATAGACTTTCACAATAGCTCCAAGGCAGGGACAGCGGGTTTGGGGGTTGGGAGGGCAGTTTTTGGAATGTAAATTTAGGACTTTTAAAAAGGTGCGCACAGCTTCTGATAAATTTATAACCAGACTTAACCTAATCATGTCTCGTTCCAGTTCTGTTTTCTCTGAGCCCTTTTCTTAGTCTCCTCTCTTTCTCCTGTCATCCTTTTCCTTTCCTGTCCGTGTATCTCCGTTTCTTCAACATGACAAGCATACAGACTTGAACACCTTTCCGGTGTTCTTCCGAGAACTGTGAAGTCCATGTTCATCCAAATGTAACCAAAAAAGAAGTCACCCTACATGTCTGAAAAACTGTTGCTTCTCCTCTGAAACTTCAAACTCCAATAATAGCTTTGTTTTCTTTAGTTTCTGTAATGGAAAATGTTTAAAGGAAAACTTTACACCAGGCTTCTGGTTACACTAGAAGTCAAGCCCAGTAGGGATTTTCATTTTTTTTTCAATTGGTTGTTGAGAAGTTTCAAAAACCAGTTTTCAAGCTGTGGTCTTTCAAACACATCTGCACTAAGTCACACATTTCAATAAAGCATTTTCAAGACTGTTGACCACTTGAATTTCTTTGGTGTTGGTGGATTAACCTAACCATTACTCAGAGATTTTATATCTCTAATCCAGTATTTTTTTTTCTTTTTATGCTAAACGTGGGAGATCCTGGTTTTGTGTGAATGCATTATTTTGGATGTGAGAAATTTTTAAAAATGCCAATTATGTACTTTCCCTTTTCTGCACAAATTCTGGGAAAATGTAAGAGCCTTCATTTTTTAACATGGTTTTAGGGAACAAATGTAAGTCCATTCAGAGCAGTTTAATTTAGATGATCACTTTAACACTGCAGAAGACCTAAGGAGTCATAAGATTCCATCTCATGTAGAATACTGTATATTAATTATTTTTTACCAGATATTTTACAAATACCTCACCTCATCCTGTATGTAATCAATAATGTATTATTTTAGGGTAGAAAGACACAGAATATCAATATAAAAATATATTCAAGCCCTTGAAATTCTTGTGTCCTTTTTCTTTAGTTTCTGGATCAAAATCTTATTACTGGATGTACTGTTGAATAAAAATTGCAAAGACTTTGATGGACAGGAGACAAAATCAAAATATACCACTGTTTATTTTGGCAGTACCTTCAAATTTCTAAGGACCAGATCCTGAATTTTGAGAAGTTTTTGTTTTGTTGAGTTTTGAGCGTCTAGGATATAAGTTTATAAATGTTCTACAGTGCTTGTCTTTACTTCCTGTTAAGAAATCATTTAAATGTTTCTCCTCAAGGTGCTCTGGAAGAAGTTTAATTTCAACTCTGAACAAATAGAAATAACTGTGCTTCCTTGTATGGCTGCAATCATAAGATACAATTTCTATGGTTGGCTACCGTGAAATTATTGTATTTATATTGCATTGTTTTGTTTAAAACAAAAAAAATCCACAGAAGTAGAACCTAGGTTTGCTACTAACAAAATAGTGGATTCTTATAATGAGGCTCAGGTAAAGTAAGAGAAAGCTTCTCTCCCTGTGGTCCCCAGAGAAATGAAGTTTAGGATAGCACATTACACTATTAGAAATAATAGATGTAACAACAAAAACCCAGTCCATTATCCCCACCCCTCATTTTCCCTCTCAATATTAGAAATTTCAATAATATACTGACAGATTTTCAAAGGTCACCAAGGCTTTTGTGTTTTTTCTCGTCTGTGGGCCACAATTAGAGAACAGCTAACAGGTCCAGAGTTCTCTTGATAGGTCCAAGCCTTAGTTTACAGAAAAAAGCTAGGCTCCTCACTGCAAATATTAATACTTTATACACTTTACTCGATGGATCTTGGGGTGAGCACACATGTCAATAGTTCATAGCTCTAGTTAAGGACAAAGCGGGGTTGGGAGTAGGAGGAGAACACTCTGTACAGAGAGGTTAGGGTAGCAGGTGACTGGAGAAAAGGATCTTTTGAATGGGATTCCTGTAACAGTGTTCAGTACCAATGTTAAGTCTACTGTAAGTGGCTTACTGATACAGGCATGTGTGAAAAACTAAGTGTGATGGAGGAATGGGTGCTAAAAGCTCTAACAGTTTTGTAGAGAAGCCCTGCAGCAATGCTTATATGACATGCCTGTTTCTTAATTATTTGCATGCACAGTTTAAGGGGTACATGCAATATTGGTTTCATGTGCAGTAAAAACATAGCTGAGTGCGGTGGCTCATGCCTGTAATCCCAGCACTTTGGGAGGCCAAGGCGGGTGGATCACGAGGTCAGGAGTTCAAGACCAGCTTCGCCAACATAGTGAAACCCCATCTCTACTAAAAACCACAAAAAATTAGCCGCGCTTGGTGGTGGGCACCTGTAATGGGAGGCTGAGGCAGGAGAATCGCTTGAACCTGGGAGGTGGAGGTTGCAGTGAGCCGAGATCACGCCATTGCGCTCCATCCTGGGTGACGGTGCGAGACTCCATCTCAAAAAAAAAAAAAATACTGGGTACGAAATTTTCCCAGAATTACATGCAAAAGTTGGTGTTTATGCTGGAAAAAGGTAACAGTTATCTGTGCTCTTTCTAAAGCTCAACTAAACACTAAAACAGTTCCCTCCTTGAGACTGGAGGTAGGATGGCAGTTGGCAGGGTGAAGGGAAGAGGTTGGGGCGGAGTCTCTCATAACATTTCATCCCCAGTAGTAACTGAAGCCCTATGTCTGGCCTGGAGTGGATAGAGGTTAGGGTTAGAGTGCAGGATGCAGCAGCAGTCTGCAGACTTTCAGGTTGTGACAGTGTAATGAAATTCTGTGCTCTTAAACATGGCTATGTCTGAGTTAGTCATTACAGTATTCCAAAGCCAAATTCAAGTGACTGTTTTTCAGAATAGTGTAAAAATTAATTCCCTGTGCTCATCGGCTTCAACCATGCAGACGCAACATTTGTTTCTAATTAGTACTCTTGCCTCTTGGTTTCTCTAGTTTTTCAACCCATTTCTGTCAGTGTTCTATAAATGCAAACATTCATTACTTAAGGAACCCTGCAGCAGACCTCGAATAAGATGTGACTTGATGTTTGTTGCCACTTCCTCAACTTGGTTAGCAAATTCAAGTTTTGAAAGATGATTCATCTCAGAGAAGTCGATCCTGAACCTCTACATCACATTTTAGTTGGTTGCTATCACGTGGGTAATGTCTTATCGTGGGTTCCTAGAATCACAAAGGAGAATGCTCTCAAGTCCTCACGTTAACTTTAGTAAGTTACCTTTACGGCAACTAAAGAGATCAATTAAAAAGAACCCTTAAGCCGGGCGCGGTGGCTCACGCCTGTAATCCCAGCACTTTGGGAGGCCGAGGCGGGCGGATCACGAGGTCAGGAGATCGAGATGACGGTGAAACCCCGTCTCTACTAAAAATACAAAAAATTAGCCGGGCGCGGTGGCGGGCGCCTATAGTCCCAGCTACTCAGGAGGCTGAGGCAGGAGAATGGCGTGAACCCGGGAGGCGGAGCTTGCAGTGAGCCGGAGATCGCGCCACCGCACTCCAGCCTGGGGACAGAGCGAGACTCCATCTCAAAAAAAAAACCCCTTAAGTCTGACTGTCTCGGGTAACTTTACTTGGTGTACAAATAGTGCACAGATATGGATGAGGGCTACACATGGCTGACTTGAAAACCCATGTTGGGCCGGGCCTGGTGGTTCACACCTGTAATCCCAGCACTTTGGGAGACAGAGGCAGGTGGATCATGAGGTCAGGAGTTCAAGGGCAGCCTGGCCAAGATGATGAAACCCAGTCCCTACTAAAAATACTAAAATTAACTGGGCGTGGTGGCGGACACCTGTAATCCTAGCCACTTGGGAGGCTGAGGCAGTGAATTGCTTGAACCCAGGAGGTGGAGGTTGCAGTGAGCTGAGATGGGGCCACTGCACTCCAGCCTGGGGGACACAGCAAGACTGTCTTCAAAAATAAAAAACGTGGGCTGCATATGCAAAGCCTGGGGCTGCTTTCCACAGGCCTAGATAGTGATTCTCTTCAAGGAGGCCTTTACTAACCACAGGGAACCGAGCATCTGACTGTGTCCTTGGCAGACAGTGCAGGTAGCCTGTAGAATGTTGGCTCCTCTGTCTATAGAAACCTGCTCGCTCTCATTCATACATACTTTTTGAGTTCCCAGTAGGTACCAAGTTTTGTCTAAGCATTATTTGCCAACTGTGATTTTTACAGACTTCCCCTGTAAGAATTTTCTAAAAGAGCCTTTCTCCCTTACACAATTGAAATGTTTTCAAAGGTCATCAAGCCTGTTGCCTTTGGTCGATCACGTGACCAATCAGATCTGGTGAGTGAGCTGCTGCCTTAAATCTACCAAATTAGACTGAGAGCGTTTGGAGTCTGCCTCACACATAAGAGATCCATATTCATTTAATAGTGAAACCAGCCCAGAAGCATCCTCTTCTGTAAGTTGGATGGAGTCCCAGCTCTCTCTCCTTGTAGATTTTCTGACCACACCCTGTATATAAGGTTTTCTTGAGGTAGATGCAGCAATATTCCTGAGGTAAGATTCTACAATACTCCTGTATTGGCAAGTGGACTGGACCAACAGACACAGGCTTCAGCCGCTGTCCCTAGGGACTGAAGGAGAGTTCATGGATTCTTACACCCTAGTCATGAAAGCTATTCTGGCCAGCCTGGAATCCATTTAATTTTGCCCAGGAGAACCTCTCATGACAAGAAGACATTATTTTGCCCATGAAAGTCCATTTTTAAATATACAGTATTGGCCTTATTAGCAGTGTCTGTTCGACCGCGCCCGCTACCTCTCTCCAGTGCCACCATGGTGTGACTGACCTTCAGGGATGCAGACTCACCTTGGGAAATATACAGACTGACGTACCGTACTGTTAGAGTATTGGCCCATACTTGTGGCAGGTCCCGACTACTTCATTCACTGAGACCCTTGATATGAACTTCTTCCGTTTATAAACATCACCCGTGCATCGAGCTTACCTGTTTTCTGATTTGAATAAACTTTGGGCGTTGTGCGCTACTTGAACCATTGCTTCACTGCGATTAAACGTGAGTGTGACTTCCATGTTGTGTCATCTTAAGGTGTCAGTATGTTCACACAGACTTGGTCATCTGTGGCACCGGTGTTTTGGCGTTTCTGTAGTTTTTGTTTTGGTTTGTTTTTTGAGACGGAGTTTTGCTCTTGTTGTCCACACTGGAGTGGCAGTGGCAACGATCTCGGCTCGCTGCAACCTCCGCCTCCTGGGTTCAAATGATTCTCCTGCCTCAGCCTCCCAAGCAGCTGGGATTACAGGCACATGCACCAGGCTAGCTACTTTTTTGTATTTTTAGTAGAGACGGGGTTTCACCACGTTGTCAGGCTGGTCTCAAACTCCTGACCTCAGGTGATCCACCTGCTCAGCCTCCCAAAGTGCTGGGATTACAGGCATGAGCCACCACACCTGGCCTCATTTCTAGAGTTTTAAATCCCCTGTGAAATACAATTTATGCTATTGTCCCTCTCTGCTTCCTCTCCTGTTTCCTTATGGGGGGGGTGTGTGTGTGTGTTTTA